ACATTTATGTATTTTTCAATAAACAATGGTGACAAAATATAGCTTACATGTTGTCAACAATCTAAGCCAACCCCTGTCTGTTTGGCCCCATAGTTGTGCACGCGTCGGTTTTGTTAATAAACAACCAACCCGTCTATACAGCTTGTTGGAGTGCCATAATCGGTTTGTGGTGGTAACTGGACAGCTACGAAAAAAATATAGCTGAACTCTTGGTAAATAATACGGTGTGCAGCTTTATCATGAGGTATTTTAACAAAGCCAAAAAAACGTGAAACCTTCCTTAACATTAGAGATTGTGCACCAGCTGCTCTTAACAAAGACACAACCCCTCCCCCTTTAGTCTTACCCGAGGCTGCGTCTGGTCTAGACCAATCGCATGAAGAAACAGATATATATTATCCATGGCCTTGTTTCAGCCATGACTATACGAGAATCATAGATAATATTACAGTTCTTCAGGTCCCGTTGATAGGATAGTCTCGAGTTCATCCAGTTTTTTTTTTTTTCCAGTGACTGCACATTCTCCAACAGAACAGAAGGCATGGTGCAGTTTGCATCATATAATGCAAATGCTTTATGTCTGAATTTTGAAAGTTACAGTGGGGAAAAAAAGTATTTAGTCAGCCACCAATTGTGCAAGTTCTCCCACTTAAAAAGATGAGAGAGGCCTGTAATTTTCATCGTAGGTACACGTCAACTATGACAGACAAATTGAGAAAAAAAATTCCAGAAAATCCCATTGTAGGATTTTTAATGAATTTATTTGCAAATTATGGTGGAAAATAAGTATTTGGTCACCTACAAACAAGCAAGATTTCTGGCTCTCACAGACCTGTAACTTCTTCTTTAAGAGGCTCCTCTGTCCTCCACTCGTTACCTGTATTAATGGCACCTGTTTGAACTTGTTATCAGTATAAAAGACACCTGTCCACAACCTCAAACAGTCACACTCCAAAACTCCACAATGGCCAAGACCAAAGAGCTGTCAAAGGACACCAGAAACAAAATTGTAGACTTGCACCAGCTGGGGAAGACTGAATCTGCAATAGGTAAGCAGCTTGGTTTGAAGAAATCAACTGTGGGAGCAATTATTAGGAAATGGAAGACATACAAGACCACTGATAATCTCCCTCAATCTGGGGCTCCACGCAAGATCTCACCCCGTGGGTTCAAAATGATCACAAGAACGGTGAGCAAAAATCCCAGAACCACACGGGGGGACCTAGTGAATGACCTGCAGAGAGCTGGGACCAAAGTAACAAAGCCTACCATCAGTAACACACTACGCCGCCAGGGACTCAAATCCTGCAGTGCGAGACGTGTCCCCCTGCTTAAGCCAGTACATGTCCAGGCCCGTCTGAAGTGCATTTGGATGATCCAGAAGAGGATTGGGAGAATGTCATATGGTCAGATGAAACCAAAATATAACTTTTTGGTAAAAACTCAACTCGTCATGTTTGGAGGACAAAGAATGCTGAGTTGCATCCAAAGAACACCATACCTACTGTGAAGCATGGGGGGTGGAAACATCATGCTTTTGGGCTGTTTTTTCTGCAAAGGGACCAGGACGACTGATCCGTGTAAAGGAAAGAATGAATGGGGGCCATGTATCGTGAGATTTTGAGTGAAAACCTCCTTCCATCAGCAAGGGCATTGAAGATGAAACGTGGCTGGGTCTTTCAGCATGACAATGATCCCAAACACACCGCCCGGGCAACGAAGGAGTGGCTTCGTAAGAAGCATTTCAAGGTCCTGGAGTGGCCTAGCCAGTCTCCAGATCTCAACCCCATAGAAAATCTTTGGAGGGAGTTGAAAGTCTGTGTTGCCCAGCGACAGCCCCAAAACATCACTGCTCTAGAGGAGATCTGCATGGAGGAATGGGCCAAAATACAAGCAACAGTGTGTGAAAACCTTGTGAAGACTTACAGAAAACTTTTGACCTGTGTCATTGCCAACAAAGGGTATATAACAAAGTATTGAGAAACTTTTGTTATTGACCAAATACTTATTTTCCACCATCATTTGCCAATAAATTCATTAAAAATCCTACAATGTGATTTTCTGGATATTTTTTTCTCATTTTGTCTGTCATAGTTGACGTGTACCTATTATGAAAATTACAGGCCTCTCTCATCTTTTTAAGTGGGAGAACTTGCACAATTGGTGGCTGACTAAATACTTTTTTTTCCCCACTGTATATGTATTTCCAACTTGATTGCTGACATGCAAAAGATTTAGGGACTATATCAACAATGGACTAATGAAACAAATACCAAAATATGAGTTTTCCTTTAAGATCAGCATAAAGAAACACACAAAATAGCAGAATTTCAGGAGCCAGTAAAACGGCCGCTATCTACTGCAGTGCTGTCTTTCCAGGATCAACTACTGTTCTAGTTAGAGAGGAGTCACAGCTTTGCACCACTTTACAACCGGAGTAGGCTGTAGTTAGTATGGTTTTGATCCGCCTCCGTAGCCGAGTGGAGCGCGCCATTGGCAGTGAATAGGCCTACATTTACATTACATTTACATTTACGTCATTTAGCAGACGCTCTTATCCAGAGAGACTTACAGTTAGTGAGTGCATACATTTTTTTATACTGGCCCCCCCTGTGGGAAACGAACCCACAACCCTGGCGTTGCAAACGCCATGCTCTATCAACTGAACCAAAGGGGACCTAGCCTAGCACTGGAAAGTTGTTGTAGGACATTAGCCTACATTTACTGATAGATTCATCAATTAGCCTATTATCCTGGCTATCTACAAACAATATAATATTTAGAGTCAGCAATCTAGCTAAGTGTTTTGAGTTCCCACTTCCTCAGGTACGATGAACATGGAGTTCACAGCAACAATGATGACTGGCCTGTTTCTCACTCTCTCTCCCCTCCCTCCTCCCCCTCTCCAGGTCATCCTGTTTGCATTGAGAGATTATATCCAGTACTGGTATTACGCTCTGAGTGAGGATGAGTCTTTTCTGCTGGAAATCAGACAGACTGTCCAGAACGCTCTGGTCCAGTTCTCTACACGGTAATATTCTATTACCACTCTATTACTTCATTATAATACTGCATTATAAGTAGTCTATTACTACATTATAACTAGTCTATTACCACTCTATTACTACATTATAACTAGTCTATTACCACTCTATTACTACATTATAACTAGTCTTACTACATTATAACTAGTCTATTACTACATTATAACTAGTCTATCACCACTACTGCATTATAACTAGTCTATTAATACTCTATTACTACATTATAACTAGTCTATTACTACTACTGCATTATAACTAGTCTATTACTACTCTATTACTACATTATAACTAGTCTATTACTACATTATAACTAGTCTATTACCACTCTATTACTGCATTATAACTAGTCTATTACCACTCTATTACTGCATTATAACTAGTCTATTACTACATTATAACTAGTCTACCACTCTATTACTGCATTATAACTACTCTATTACTGCATTTTAACTACTCTATTACTGCATTATAACTAGTCTATTACTACATTATAACTAGTCTATTACTACATTATAACTAGTCTATTACTACAATATAACTAGTCTATCACCACTACTGCATTATAACTAGTCTATTACTACTCTATTACTACATTATAACTAGTCTATTACTACATTATAACTAGTCTATTACCACTCTATTACTGCATTATAACTAGTCTATTACCACTCTATTACTGCATTATAACTAGTCTATTACTACATTATAACTAGTCTATTACCACTCTATTACTGCATTATAACTACTCTATTACTGCATTATAAACTAGTCTATTACTACATTATAACTAGTCTATTACCACTCTATTACTGCATTATAACTACTCTATTACTGCATTATAACTAGTCTATTACTACATTATAACTAGTCTATTACTACATTATAACTAGTCTATTACTGCATTATAACTAGTCTATTACCACTCTATTACTGCATTATAACTACTCTATTACTGCATTATAACTAGTCTATTACTACATTATAACTAGTCTATTACTGCATTATAACTAGTCTATTACCACTCTATTACTGCATTATAACTAGTCTATTACCACTCTACTGCATTATAACTAGTCTATTACCACTATTACTGCATTATAACTAGTCTATTACTGCATTATAACTAGTCTATTACCACTATTACTGCATTATAACTAGTCTACCACTCTACTGCATTATAACTAGTCTATTACTGCATTATAACTAGTCTATTACTGCTCTATTGCTGCATTATAACTAGTCTTACTGCATTATAACTAGTCTATTACTGCTTTATAACTAATCTATTACCACTCTATAACTAGTCTATTACTACTCTACTGCATTATAACTAGTCTATTACCACTCTACTGCATTATAACTAGTCTATTACCACTATTACTGCATTATAACTAGTCTATTACCGCATTATAACTAGTATATTACCACTCTATTACTGCATTATAACTAGTCTATTACCACTCTATTACTACATTATAACTAGTCTATTACCACTCTATTACTGCATTATAACTAGTCTATTACCGCATTATAACTAGTCTATTACTGCATTATAGCTAGTCTATTACCACTCTATTACTGCATTATAACTAGTCTATTACTGCTCTATTGCTGCATTATAACTAGTCTATTACTGCATTCTAACTAGTCTATTACCACTCTATAACTAGTCTATTACTACTCTATTAATGCATTATAACTAGTCTATTTCTGCTTTTTAACTAGTCTATTACTACTCTTATTACTGCGTCATAACTAGTATATTACTACTCTATAACGACTGTATTACTACTGTTTTACCACACGGTTATACAGGTCTAAAGATGTAGACTGGCAGCCTTATTTGACCACCAGACTGGTGGATGACTTCGCTACTCACCTTCGAGTCTTCAGAAAGGCCCAAGACAGACTGGAGGGCAGGGAAGACAATAAACAGAGTAAGGGCACACACACACACACACACACACACAGACACACACACACACACTCAGACACACACACAGACAGACACACACACTCAGACACACACACACACACACACACACTCTCAGACACACACACACACAGACAGACACACACAGAGACACACACACTCTCTTTCTCTATCAGACATGATGATGATGTGGATAATTATGAAGATGGTGGTGGTGGTGGTGATGTTTATGTTTATGATCATGGTGGTGGTGTGTTTTTAGGGGACTTGTCGGAGGAGATGGTGGAGTCGTTCTTTGAGGCGGAGGTGGAGATGGAGAGGAACATCTGTAGAGACGTGGTCTGCACCTCCCTGAAGGATGAAGAAGGTACACACACACACACACACACACACACACCCTGAAGAACGAGAAAGGTTCACACGCTGCACCTCGGCAGTTGAAACACCTTTGAGCCTCTGTGTGTTTTAAATAGAAAGAAAGTCCCACACTCTATATGCGCCCAAGGATTTAATGGGTAAACCTCACCGTCTCACGTCAGATAGCACAACGCCGTCTGCAATGATCTGTCTGATAACTCGCAAACACTCATGGGATAGATCAAAAAAGTAGTTTGGCTACAATACGCTGTCATAACATCCGAAAATGTTACTAAGGTCAGAGTTTATCTTACAAAAACTATAAACCTGTAGCTAATTTTGACATTTTCTTTTAAGTCTTAACTACCTAATTCTACATCTAGCTAAGGAGTATTGTGGTTGTAGAATCAGTATTGTGAAATTCGAAATGTGCATGAAAATTGGCTAGCTAGCTAACTATTTTGCTTGCTAGCTGAGCCAGTCTCCATATTTTTAGTTTATTTTTTATTTAACCTTTATTTAACTAGGCAAGTCAGTTAAGAACAAATTCTTATTTACAATGACGGCCTACACCGGCCAAACCCGGGCGATGCTGGGCCAATTGTGTGCCGCCCTATGGGACACCCAATCACGGCCGGTTGTGATACAGCCTGGAATCGAACCAGGGGGTCTGTAGTGACGCCTCAAGCACTGAGATGCAGTGCCTTAGACCGCTGCACCACTCGGGAGCAGTGGCGGCTCCTGAAAAAATTCTCAGGAGGGGCAATTTTTCTGATGATTTAGGTGACCTACACACGTGCACGAGTCCGTGCACGCGATTCCAGATATCTTTACCTCTGAATAAACTGCCTTTATTATACCATATCCACCCTGTCCAAAGTCTCTACTTGGTCTCAGTTCTCCAGTAAACTTGTGATTATCAACAGTACACAACGGTAACAAACAATTGGGGGAACTCACGGGGCAGATAGTAACCACTTAAAAGGAAGCGATTCCCAAACCTTCCATAACAAAGCCATCACCTACAGAGAGATGAACTTGGAGAAGAGTCCCCTAAGTAAGCTTGTCCTGGGCCTCTGTTCACAAACACAAACAGACCCCACACAGCCCCAGGACAACAACAACAACAACAACAACAACACAATTAGACCCAACCAAATCATGAGAAAACAAAAAGAGAATTACTTGACACATTGGAAAGAACAAACAAAAAAACAGAGCAAACTAGAATGCTATTTGGCCCTAAACAGAGAGTACACAGTGGCAGAATACCTGACCACTGTGACTGACCCAAACTTAATGAAAGCTTTGACTATGTACAGACTCAGTGACCATAGCCTTGCTATTGAGAAAGGCCGCCGTAGGCAGACCTGGCTCTCAAGAGAAGACAGGCTATGTGCACACTGCCCACAAAATGAGGTGGAAACTGAGCTGCACTTCCTAACCTCCTGCCAAATGTATGACCATATTAGAGACACATATTTCCCTCAGATTACAGCGATCCACAAAGAATTCGAAAACAAACCCAATTTTGATAAACTCCCTTATCTACTGGGTGAAAAACCACAGTGTGCCATCACAGCTGCAAGATTTGTGACCTGTTGCCACAAGAAAAGGGCAACCAGTGAAGAACAAACACCATTGTAAATACAACCCATATTTATGTTTATTTATTTTCCCATTTGTACTTTAACTATTTGCACATTGTAACAACACTGTATATATACATAATATGACATTTGAAATGTCTTTATTCTTTTGAAACTTCTGAGTGTAATGTTTACTGTTAATATTTATTGTTTATTTCACTTTTGTTTACTATCTACTTCCCTTGCTTTGGCAATGTTAACACACGTTTCCCATGCCAATAAAGCCCTTAAATTGAATTGAATTGATAGTAAGGTCGCAATGACACAGAAAGCAGTTCAATGTCGGGGTACAGAGTCGCTCTCTTACCAGGATCGCGGTCCGCTCTGACCAGGGTGAAGGTGGCCGGCTCCACTTCTCTGTCCGGGACTCATCCAGCCAAGTCTCCCAGCTGTATTGGGATTCAGCTGCCAGCAGCGTTTTCATTATTTAGTCCGTTCGTAGCGGGTATGTACACGATCAACAAGATCAGTCCAAAACCAACCACTGGAAATCCATGGTTGGCAGAATGTTTGTAAACTAAGTCTACAAATTAAAAACATAAAATAACGCCGCACTGCAGGTCGCAACAGAGACGCTTCTAGCCGCCATTGTCTTAGTTACGTTCAACGTTACGTCACGTATGACGAAAGCGCGTAAGTGCAAGCCCACAGACACCCATAGAGAATGTATTGAAAGCTTTGAAATGTGAAAAAAATAGATTTTACATGACAGGCTATGAGAGACTTCTGGGCGATTTTCAACCTGACTGAAATCGCCCCAAAAACGGGCGGGCCATTTGAAGCACGACTTTAGCCTGATTTGACATTTAGTGGCTGGCAGATCAGACGTGAACACTGATAACTGCTGTTGCCGTGATATAATTGATTAGAAAAAAAATCCCTTCCTTTTCCCGTTTGGCAGTGCGTCGCCCATATCGCCCTATTGAACACACCGCCCATGCTCGGGAGCCACATGAAACGCAAGTGATGCTAACCCGACGCCAGTTCACACACTCAATGCTGAATAAATACTCCCTCAAGGTAGCTACATAGCGTAGTAAAATTCTAGCTATAGCACAATTAATACGTTTTATGATAAGACAGTTTCTGTTCTGCTGTGTTTAGTGCACCGAGTTCTGCAGCAGCTGACTGCGCTAGCTGCGACTTCGTGTTGGCCAAGTGTTACAACGTAGCGAGTCAAATAGAGGCGAAAGAAACGCACACCTATTTAGGCGAGGTGCTGGCGAACTGAGTAAAACACTTGGAAAAACGTTTCGACAGACAAGCTGTCTTCATCAGGGTATAATGACAAACGTAGCGAGTCACCAGTGCCAGCTATCAGGGACGGATACATACTGATTTCTGAGAACGACCCCATAACTTTGGTGCATTACAACTTCATCAGCAAGCTGGCAGACTAGCTACAGTAATGGCGATTCAAACAAACTGGTACTGGGCTGCTGACTGGGAACAAGTTTCCTCTGCTGATCGAACATGGTTTGCTGTAGCAGCCAATAGCCAGTGCAACAGTTCATAGCTATGGTAGTCCTGGCAACTAGTGTTAGGCAGATGAGCAAAATCTAGATTTGTAGGGATGAGTTCCACGGTTTGCTAGACAGATGGCTCCTGGAGACGCTTGTTGCGTTAGAATGACACCATCGGATGAAAGACAATGGGGTAAACCTTATAACCAACGGTTGGCAACGCAGCGCTTTCTTCAGGGTCAGCCGAAACGTTAGTAATGAAGTTTTCCCATTAAATTGTTGGGAGCATATATATCGTGTGCAACTTTCTTTTTCTACTGTTTACTCTCCGTTAGTCAGCACCTCTACAAAAAAGGTGTGGGTGTGCGTCTGCTCCAGGTTTTTACCTCTGTGGGTTTATCATAATGTTCACATTCAGGCGCTGACTTCTCTGTCTGTCTCTGTGTGTCAGGGTTCCTGAGGGATCTGTGTGAGGTGCTGCTCTATCTGTTACTACCTCCTGGAGACTTCCACAACAAGAACATGAGATATTTCCTCAGGGTGAGACACACACACACACACACACACACACACACTTTTTGAGGATCTGAGGGCCCATGCCAAATCTTTTCAGCCTCCTGAGGGGAAAGAGGCACTGTCGTGCCCTCTTCACAACTGTGCGCGTGTGGGGACCATGTTTAAGTCCTTATTGATGTGGACGCCAAGGAACATGAAGCTCTCGACCCGCTCCACTACAGCCCTGTCGATGTGGATGGGGGCGTGCTCTCCCCTCTTTCTCCTGTAGTCCATGATCAGCTCCTTGGTCTTATTGACGTTGAGGGAGAGGTTGTTGCTCCGGCACCACACTGCCAGGTCTCTGACCTCCTCCCTATAGGCTGTCTCATCGTCGTCGGTGATCAGGCCTACCACCGCTGTCGTCAGCAAACTTAATGATGGCGTTGGAGCAGTGCGTGGCCACACAGTCGTGGGTGAACAGGGAGTACAGGAGGGGACTAAGCACTCACCCCTGAGGGGGCCCCCGTGTTGAGAGTCAGCGCGGCGGAGGTGTTGTTGCCTACCCTCCCCACCTTGGGGGGCGGCCCGTCAGAAAGGTCAGGTTCCAGTTGCAGAGAGAGTTGTTCAAAGTCAGAGTCCTGAGCTTAGTGATGAGCTTGGAGGGCGCTATGGTGTTGAACGCTGAACTGATTCAATAAACAACAACATCACATTGGTGTTCCTCTTGTCCAGGTGGGAGAGGGCAGTGTGGAGTGCAATAGAGATTGCGTCATCTGTTGATCTGCTGAGGCGGTATGCAAATTGGAGTGGATCCGGGGTGTCTAGGATGATTGTATTAATGTGAGCCACAAGCAGCCTTTCAAAGCATTTCATAAATACAGAGGTGAGAGCTACAGGGCGATGGTCATTTAGGCAGGTTACCTTGGACTTCTTGGGAACAGGGATGATGGTGATCAGCTTGAAACATGTTGGGATTACCGACTGGGACAAGGAGAGATTGAAAATGTCCCTGAAGACACTTGCCAGCTGGTCTGCGCATGCTCTAAGAACACGCCCTGGTATTCCAGGGTTAAAAAAGGCACACTTGACTAAGTCGCTTTGGATAAAAGCGTCTGCTAAATGGCTTATAGTATTATTATATAGTAATCCATTGTTTTTGGTTTGGATACGTTCGTATAGTCACTGTGGGGACAATGTCAATGCACTTATTGATGAAGTCCGGTACTGATTTGGTAAACTCCTTCGGATGAATTCCGGAACATATCCCGGTCTATACTAGCAGAACAGTCTTGTAGCCTCACTTCCGTATTGAGCGCTTCACTGGTACTTCCTGTTTGAGCTTTCGTTTGTAAGCAGGAAGATGGAGTCAAGGTCTGATTTGCTGAAGGGAGGGCGAGCGAGGGCCTTTCATGCGTTTCTGTGGGTAGAATAAAAGTGGTCTCGAGTTTTATCGGCCCTAGTGCCACAGTAGACTTGTTGGTAGAACGGTTTTAAGTCTCCCCGCGTTAGTCTCCGCCCACCAGAAACGCTGCCCCTGGGTGTGCGGTTTCTTGTTTGTTTATGGCCCCATACAGTACTGATGGTGATGTAATGTGATTGTGTCCATGTTACAGGAGATTCTGATGGTGATGTAATGTGATTGTTTCCATGTTACAGGAGATTCTGATGGTGATGTAATGTGATTGGGTTCATGTTACAGGAGATTCTGATGGTGATGTGATTGTGTCCATGTTACAGGAGATTCTGATGGGGATGTAATGTGATTGTGTCCATGTTCCAGGAGATTCTGATGATGGTGATGTAATGTGATTGTGTCCATGTTACAGGAGATTCTGATGGTGATGTAATGTGATTGTGTCCATGTTCCAGGAGATTCTGATGGTGATGTAATGTGATTGTGTCCATGTTCCAGGAGATTCCGATGGTGATGTAATGTGATTGTGTCCATGTTACAGGAGATTCTGATGGTGATGTGATTGTGTCCATGTTACAGGAGATTCTGATGGTGATGTAATGTGATTGTGTCCATGTTCCAGGAGATTCTGGCGCAAGGCGTTCTCCTTCCACTGGTCAACCAGCTGAGTGATCCTGATTACGTCAACCAGTTTGTTATCTGGATGGTTAGTATCAGTAAAAAACCAGGACAACAAAATATGATTTTCACTAGATTATATCCATAGAGTGGTCCTTTGGAGGAAGGATTGTTGACATATATTTGACATTTGTATCTAAAAGTATTATTGAGAAATAATTAATCAAAGTTGGCATATTTATGACATTGTTGCCTTACCCAGGCCTCCTTTAAGACTCCATAATGTTTCATCTGTAGGTGATCCAAAACAGAAATCAGTGGCATATGAATCTTTACCGCTTTCTCTGTAATATGAGTATCAGTGTTGTGTTCGAGACCACCTAAAGCGAGACCGATTTTCAAGACCAAAGCAAATCGAGTCGACCAAGACCTGGGGGGGGGGGGGGGTCCGAGATCGAGTCAAGACTGAGACCAGGAAAATGTGAATCCAATGGCAATGATGCATAAAAATGGCGGAATTCAGATATGACATAGTTTATCCACTGAGCTTTTAAACTACAGCGCGCGACATGGTTCAATGTGCCGCCAAATTAGCAGTATCTACTTTTTTTGTTTTTCAAATTGCCACGAAATTGGAGCGAAAATTGGGATCATGTGTACTTTGCTTATGACGATACAAAAAAAGAGTGACGGACAGCGCTGTACAATACGGAAAACTTAGCAAACGAGGCATTTGTTGTACGTGCATGGAGCCGCCGTCTTTATGCACCTCCGCTATTCAAGACCATGACTTTAGATTGTACTATGTTCAACAATATTGTGAAAATTTGCCAAATAACTAATGGTGTATTTTCAATATTCATGTTTATATTTTTTTATATTCATAAATGAATATAAGAAAATTGTTATTGGAATCAAAATACTATTCATATTACAGAGCAAGCGGTAAAGCTTCATATGACACCTTTTTCTTTGTAGCAAATTTTTCTTTGTGGCCACAGTGTCATAAATATGCCAACTTATATCTTATCAATTATGCTTTTGGAAAGAAATGTCAAATATATGTCAACAATCATTCCTCCAAAGGACCACTCTATGGATTAAATCTTGTGAAAATAAAAAAAATCTGGGCCTTTTTTTTTTCCTGGTTTCATGAGGAATCAATCAAACGACATTGATAATCAATATCTGTATCATTATCAATATAACCACTTTATCAACCAGTTGTGGGTGGTTGGTAGAGATCAAGAACTGTTATAAATACAGCTGTTGTAGCACCTATTGACAAACCTGTGTGTGTGTAGATCCGGGACTCTAGCTGTAACTACGAGGCGTTTCTGAACGTCTTGAAGCTGACAGACAGAGTGTCTGAGCTGGAGGCTGTTAAAGACAAGGCTCTGGGAGAACTACAGTACCTACGATCACTGGACACCGCAGGAGACGGTACACACACACACACACACACACACACACACACACACACACACACACACAGAGACACACACACACACACACACACACACAGAGACACACACACACACACAGAGAGAGACACACACACACACAGAGAGAGACACACACACACACAGAGAGAGACGCACGCACACACACAGAGAGAGAGACACACACACACAGAGAGAGACACACAGAGAGAGAGACACACGCACAGAGAGAGACACACACACAAACACACACACAGAGAGAGAGACACACACACACACACAGAGACACACACACACACAGAGAGAGACACACACACACACACACACAGAGAGAGACAGACACACACATAGAGAGACACACACACACAGAGAGAGTGACACACAGTGACATGCATGACGCCACACTTAACAAAGTATACATAAAATCCTGAAAATCTAAAATATTCATATTTTTTCCCTCAACTCTCCTCTCCACATCCCACCCCTATCCTCCTCCTTCCTCCCTCTCATTCTACCTCGCCATTTCTCTCTCTCTCTCTCTCTCTCTCTCTCTCTCTCAGATATCAATGTAATAAAGAACCAGATCAACAGTCTGTTGTTTGTGAAGAAGGTCTGTGAGACCAGGATACAGAGGCTACAGTCTGGGAAGGTAAGACAGGAGTGAAGACGAGTCAACCGTAACACGTACTAAACCCCCCCCCTCGCGCTCTCTCTCAATTTCGCTTGTTCTCACCTTGTCTCTCCCTGTCTCCATCTGTCTACTGTAGGAGGTGGATGCTCTGAAACTAGCGGCTAACTTCGGCAAGCTGTGTATCATACCGCTGGAACACATCCTTGTACACAACATCGCCCTGCAGTTCTTTATGGGTTAGTACCACACACAACACTGTCTCTGTCCTGACATGCAAGCAAGCAAGCAGAGCTGTTCTTCTGCCTGGCAATAGATGGCTACAAAGTAACAACCCACACCTGACCTCTGACCTCTACCCTCTCCTGTAGACTACATGCTGGTGGCTGGGGCCCAGGCAGAGCTGTTCTTCTGGCTGACAGTGGAGGGCTACAGAGTAACAGCTGACCTCTAACCCTGACCTCTAACCTTTGACCTCTACCCTCTCTTGTAGACTACATGCTGGCGGCTGGGGCCCAGGCAGAGCTGTTCTTCTGGCTGACAGTGGAGGGCTACAGAGTAACAGCTGACCCCTGACCTCTAACCTTTGACCTCTACCCTCTCCTGTAGACTACATGCTGGCGGCTGGGGCCCAGGCAGAGCTGTTCTTCTGGCTGACAGTGGAGGGCTACAGAGTAACAGCTGACCTCTGACCCTGATCTCTAACCTTTGACCTCTACCCTCTCCTGTAGACTACATGCTGGCGGCTGGGGCCCAGGCAGAGCTGTTCTTCTGGCTGACAGTGGAGGGCTACAGAGTAACAGCCCAGCAACAACTAGAGGTGATGGAGGTACGGCAGAAGGAGGGAAAGAAGGGAGGATCCACTAAAGGATTGCTGAAGGCTGCAGCACTAGGGGTGTATGAGCAGTACCTGTCTGATAAGGTAACACACACACTTTCACCACACACACACACACACACACACACACAGACACACACTTTCACCACACACACACTTTCACCACACACACACTTACTTAAAGGGATACTTTGGGATTTTGGCAATGAGGCCGAAATCAGTCAGTATTAGATAGAACGTTGCGTCCTTGCCCGCCTGTGGGGAAAACAACCTGTGGTTACCTAGGTTACCCCATTAGCTAACAACAACAACTCTTTGTTGTCTGCTTGTTTTAGTCAATTACAAAACTACATTTAAGAAAAGTACAACATGTCTAAAGATTACATTTTCAACATTGCCTGCTCCCTAGTGTTCTCACTCCCTCATGCCCCTTTTCATGACGGTGCTAGCAGCCACTTGAGTGAGTGAGTGCTAGCTAGCTACCGACCGGAACATTAAGCTAACCAAGACCAACAACACAAACAGACAGACGATACAGTAGTGAGTGGAGTTACAAATGAACTGTGCTAAACAAGTTAAGTCTTACCTGTGATGAAATGTTTTCCACACACATAGCTACATGTAGCCTACATGGATACCGGGTTCCCACATTTCCCACTCTCCCACGCCGAATAGCCTGAAACCACAGGGCTCTTCTCGCAGGCTCTATTTCCCTACGTGGGAGCATTGGGAACCGCAGGCTCTATTTCCCTACGTGGGAGCATTGCGAACCGTAGGTTGGGATTTTTGACCTGGTTACATGTACATTGAACAACACAGCAGCTTTTCGGCATGTTTTGTTATTTCTGTATAACAAAAAATCGACTACGAAGTTGCCTCTTTTACAATGGGGGTCAATAGGAAAGAATGTTGGTTTTCCCCAATTTGTGGTCGAGGGAAATTCCTTATTGTTACGTGAATACCAACTGGGACTATGGCTGGAAGGCATTGAGCTAACTTCCTTCATACTGGACACAGAAACATAAAAATGGTATCCACGAGTTCATCTGACTCTGGGGAAGTATCACTTTAAAATCCTGAAGTATCACTTTAACATACACACGTTTTCTCTCAATTGTATAATCTTTCTTGCTCTCCAGGCGTCCCCCAGGGTGCAGGTAGAGGAGGTGTCTGTTCTCAAACTGGAGAGAAGCTACAGAAGGATGGCACCCCACGCCAGAGATATTCGACGACATCCAGAGAAAGGTGGGTTTGTGTTTTAATTATCTTTATTTTTTAAAAAAAAATCAAACTATCAACAGTTTTATCAGACTATCAACTGTTTTACCAACTGTTTTATCAGACTATCAACTGTTTTATTAACTGTTTTATCAGACTATCAACTGTTTTACCAACTGTTTTATCAGACTATCAACTGTTTTACCAACTGTTTTATCAGACTATCAACTGTTTTACCAACTGTTTTATCAGACTATCAACTGTTTTACCAACTGTTTTATCAGACTATCAACTGTTTTATTAACTGTTTTATCAGACTATCAACAGTTTTACCAGACGATCAACTGTAACACAGCTTACTGTTTTAAACCACATCTCTAAATATGGAAACTTTTATTAATGTTTCATTGTCGATCCAAATAAAGTATTCACGTGTTCTGACGTTCGTGCCCGTGTGTGTGCGTGTCTGTGTGTGTTGCAGGTGTATGACATGATGCTTCGTGATGAGAGGTACTACCCTTCATTCAAACAGAGTCCTCTCTACATCAGGATGTTAGCTGAGCTGGACATGCTCAAAGAACCCTCCTATAGAGGATCAGATGACGGAGACGGAGGTAAGTACAGGTTCTGTCTGTATGTTGTTAGCATAGCTTAACCCTAACCCAGGGGTGTTAAAATCAATTCCTGGAGGGCAGAGAGTCTGTGGGTTTTCACTCCTCCCTTGTACTTGAATAATCAATTAAGGTCATTGATCAGTTAGGAACTTCCCTCATCTGGTTGCCTAGGTCTTAGTTGGACAAAAATAACTAAAAAATGAACACAGCCCACCAGAAATGGAGTTTGACACCCCTGGCTTAACCCATTCTCCATGACTGTGAAGAGTAACTGTTGTCCTATATCAATTCAATTCAAGGGGCTTTATTATCATGGGAAACATATGTTTTCATTGCCAAAGCAAGTGAAATAGATAATAAACAAAAGTGAAATAAAAAATGTACAGTAAACATTACACTCACAAAAGTTCCAAAAGAATAAAGACATTTCAAATTTCATATTATGTCTATATACTGTCGTGGAAATTCTACACATGGGACACTCGAAGTAAATCTTAAATGAGTCATTCTTTATTATCAGTGCGCTGGAGAGGTTCCAACCAACTCAATGCACCAAGTACACATGTCGATCAGGAGCTCTACCGGGGCATACCCGTTAGTTCCCTTATATACTGGTTACAGACACGTTACAACAGGCATAGTTCATAGGGTTGGTTTGGGCATGTGTCTGGCACCGTCTCCTATCTTAACTAATAGAACATATTCATCTCTCTCTCTATCTCTATCTCTATCTCTAGCTGAGCATCGCCACTGCGTATCTCTGATGCGCAATATCATTCTAGTTGCTCTGCTTTTTTTCTCTATGTTATTCTCTTCCAATGCTTCAATATCTATCTTTAGCTCTATCTCATCTATTTGGATCATCTCTACTCTGTCTCTTCTCTTCTCTCTCTCTCTCTCTCTTCTCTCTGGCGGCCCTCTCTCTTGTCTTTCTCGGTCTCTGCTCTGTCTCTGTTCTCTCGTTTGTCTCTGTCTTGTTTCGTCTCTGTCCGGTCTCTATTCTTTGTCTCTATTTCTGCTGACTGCTCTTGTCTATCTTCTACAAGCTTGGAGTTAAATATAGCTCTATCAGCTCTCGTCTATATCTATCTCCGCTCTCTCTATCTCTACTCATCTCTCATCTCTCTCTCTATCCTCTCTCTCTCTATCTCTCTCTCTCTCTACTCTCTCTCTCTCTCTCTCTCCTCTCTATCTATCTCTCTCTCTATCTACAGAATCGTTCAACGGTTCTCCAACAGGAAGCATTAATCTAGTAAGTCCTCGTCACCCCCTGAGACACCAGCTGTCATTAACTACAGCCAGTCATAGTGCTGTCTGTTACAACAGGTTTTACTGGACCCCTACTGCTGTAGAGTTGTTAACATTTAACACCAGTTAAGCAATGGTTGACTTTTACTGCAGAGTTCACGGTAGCAGTATTGCTTCTTTTAATTGGCTGTTAGTCCAGAGATTGGCAGTATCTCTGGTTCTGATTTGGTTGTTTTTCTCTCCACTGTTTACAGTCTCTGGATGACCTGTCGAACTCCTGCCATGACGACAATATACAGCTACACGCCTTCATCTCTGATACAGGTACACACACACAAACACACACACACACACACACACACACACACACACACGTGATATAATCTCCAGTCAGTATATAGTCTGTGGTGTGATGTATTGTAAGCTAGTATATTCTGAAAGTTAACCAGCTATCCATGTCCTCTCACTTGCATGTGTGACTACTGACCACTAATGTGGTTTCATTCAGAGATGTGTGGGTACAACAGTAGTGGTCTTAAAAACGTTACTCTGTCAAAATGCCTTGATGCTGTAAGGAGCCTAGAGGCAGCATTGTCTCCGAACACTACAAGACGTGAGTTCTGTTATCAATATTCAGCAGTATTATCAAAGCTTTACATTACTGACTTCAATGTAGAACGTTGGGGCGTTAATGGAAAGGAATGCGTATCAGGGGTGATAAAATGGCCACCATGTTTTGAAATTTGATTAATTGATTTGATTGATTGGGCTGGGTAGGGGAGGCAATTGTTTAGATTTTACAGCAGTGTGACAGGTAACTATTTTAGGGCCAGAACTGTTGTCAGTCTTTTGACCTACTAACTCCTCCCCCTGACTAGCCACCAACTCACCTCTGCATCGCCCTTTGACCTCATCTCCTCACGTTAACCATCAGCTTGTATCACTTATCTTACAATCTCATGTTGCTGCTACTTTTCTTTTCACACATTCATTATTCTATCACCTTTACCATTTCATTATTCTATCACCTTTTACCATTTCTTCTGTTTCTCCTTTTTCCCTTCACTTTCCTTCTTTACCCTTCTTGCTTTCTGTCTCGCTGCCCATGGCATCCTCTGTCTCGCTGCCCATGGCATCCTCTGTCTCGCTACCCATGGCATCCTCTGTCTCGCTACCCATGGCATCCTCTGTCTCGCTAACCATTGCATCCTCTGTCTCGCTAACCATTGCATCCTCTGTCTCGCTAACCATTGCATCCTCTGTCTCGCTACCCATGGCATCCTCTGTCTCGCTACCCATGGCATCCTCTGTCTCGCTACCCATGGCATCCTCTGTCTCGCTGCCCATGGCATCCTCTGTCTCGCTGCCCATGGCATCCTCTGTCTCGCTGCCCATGGCATCCTCTGTCTCGCTGCCCATGGCATCCTCTGTCTCGCTAACCATTGCATCCTCTGTCTCGCTACCCATGGCATCCTCTGTCTCGCTACCCATGGCATCCTCTGTCTCGCTACCCATGGCATCCTCTGTCTCGCTACCCATGGCATCCTCTGTCTCGCTACCCATGGCATCCTCTGTCTCGCTACCCATGGCATCCTCTGTCTCGCTACCCATGGCATCCTCTGTCTCGCTACCCATGGCATCCTCTGTCTCGCTGCCCATGGCATCCTCTGTCTCGCTACCCATGGCATCCTCTGTCTCGCTGCCCATGGCATCCTCTATCCCCTTTCCTCTCGCCATGTCCATCCTTTTGGTCATCTGTCCTCATCCCCCTGCTTCTCTCTCTCTCTCGCCCACCTGTCTGCATATGTCCCATCCTATGTGCCATCACCCCTCCCTCCCTCTCTCTCTCTCTCTCTCTTCTTCACCCTTCCTGGGCTCTGTGTATCAGTAGCTGATGCGTGTCTCCCCGGGGCTGGGTTGGGGTTGGGGTTGGGCCTGCTGGGTGCCACAGGGGTATGTAATGACCACGGAAAGACCTACGCCCTCTACGCCATCACTGTGTTGCGCCGTAACCATGACGGCAGCGAAGACTCCTGGAAGACCTACCGACGCTACTCTGACTTCCACGACTTCCACATGAGGATCACGGAGCAGGTAAAGGTAAATGTGGGTGTGTTGGTGTGTGTGTGTGTGTTCCTATAACAAAGGGCTTCTGACTACTAAGGTGTGTACATAGATATGGAAAGATGGCATGTGCCAGCATGAGCAGCGCCATTGAGGGCAATCTCCATTTTAAAGTAGTCAATATATTCTTCTGCTTCTGTAAGTGCAGTTTGTAAACTGAAAAGGTGGCTACTGACACCTACTGTGCTGGAGGGTGTATAGTCTGAACAGGTATAAAGCCAAGGCTGGGGATATACTGCCACCTGCAGTTATAGAGTATAATTAATTAGCTGACCCTGCCTGCTGACCTTAACCCGTAGGAAGTCCCACCCAGCTGACTACTTTAAAATGGTGGAAGCCTCAATGACACTGCCCATGCTAAAACAGCCTTTGGTCCGAATGCGCCCTCCATCCATCTCCATGGGTGTGTGTTGTTCCTCCATTTTGGGAACCTGAAGTGTGTGTTTGCGTTGTGTTCCAGTTTGAGAATTTGACGTCGATCCTGAAGCTGCCGGGGAAGAAGACGTTCAACAACATGGACAGAGACTTCCTGGAAAAGAGGAAAAGAGACCTGAACTCGTACTTACAGGTAAGAGTGTGACGATGTGTGTCATGCCTTAAGTATATCCGGTTACATGGCTATAACCAGTCCTCTGTCTGCGTGTTAGCTGCTGCTGAATCCAGAGATGGTGAAGGCCTGTCCTACTCTGGTCCCATACGTCTACGACTTCCTGGAGAATAAACAGTACAGCAAGGGGAAGGGAGACTTCGCACGCAAGGTACACACATACAGACACACACTTACCTTGCCCAACTGCAAGATACTCCAGTTGCTTATCTACGGCGTCGCACACGACACAAACTCACTTGTCTAGTGTGTGTGTGTGTGTGTGTGTGTGTCCTCAGATGGATACGTTTGTGAACCCACTGCGTAGCTCGATGCGTAACGTGTCCATCGCTGTGAAGGGCCTGCCAGACAGTCTGGCTGAAGGGATGAACAAGGCTGCTGACAACATGGGACGCATGTCTGAGAAGCTGGGACACGAACTCAAACAGTCAATGTTCAAGGTAACGACCCTAACTGCAACTTTTTATTACAACCATAACCTAGCCAACAAGGGATCTCTGAACGATTGGGACAGAATCAAACATGTCATGTTCAAGATACAGGCTGACTATACTGTCTAACACTGCAGATATGGCTGTGGTGGTCATTACATTTAGTCAGTGATTGTCAAGCAAATAACTGCCGGTCTCATGGTAATTGACCGTTAATTAACATAAACTCGTGAGTTGTCCTTATGTTAGGTCCTGATATGGCTGTGCCATATGGCTGTGGGCTACACTAGTTCATTTAGTAGACAAGATTTGCTTAGAATTCCGTGGCAGTATTTTATAATCAAATCAAATTGTATTTGTCACATGCGCCGAATACAACAGGTGTAGACCTTACAGTGAAATGCTTACAAGCCCTTAACCAACAATGCAGTTTTAAGAATACCAACAACAAAAAAAACAATCACACAAAAAATAATACGAAATAAAAGTAACAAATAATTAAAGAGCAGCAGTAAAAATAACAATAGTGAGGCTATATACAGGGTACCGGTACAGAGTCAATGTGCAGGGGCACCGGTTAGTCGAAGTAATTGAGGTAATATGTACATGTAGGTAGGGGTATTAAAGTGACTATGCATAGATAATACGCAGAGAGTAGCAGAGGGGGGATGCCTGCGGTAGCAGAGAGAACAGTCTATGACTAGGGTGGCTGGAGTCTGACACCTTTCTCTGACACCGCCTGGTATAGAGGTCCTGGATGGCAGGAAGCTTGGCCCTAGTGATGTACTGGGCCGTACGCACTACCCTCTGTAGTGCCTTGCGGTCGGTGGCCGAGCAGCTGCCATACTAGGCAGTGACGCAACCAGTCAGGATGCTCTCGATGGTGCAGCTGTAGAACTTTTTGAGGATCTGAGGACCCATGCCAAATCTTTTCAGTCTCCTTAGGGGGAATAGGTTTTGTCGTGCCCTCTTCACGTCTGTCTTGGTGTGTGCTTGGACCATGTTAGTTTGTTGGTGATGTGGACACCAAGGAACTTGAAGCTCTCAACCTGCTCCACTACAGCCCCATCGATGAGAATGGGGGCGTGCTCGGTCTTCTTCTTTTTCCTGTAGTCCACAATCATCTCCTTTATCTTGATCACGTTGAGGGAGAGGTTGTTGTCCTTGCACCACACGGCCAGGTCTCTGACCTCCTCCCTATAGGTTGTCTCGTCGTTGTCGGTGATCAGGCCTACCACTGTTGTGTCATCTGCAAACTTAATGATGGTGTTGGAGTCGTGCCTGGCCATGCAGTCATGGGGGGACTGAGCACGCACCCCTGAGGGGCCCCAGTGTTGAGGATCAGCGTGGCGGATGTGTTGTCACCTACCCTTACCACCTGGGGTCGGCCCGTCAGGAGGTCCAGGATCCAGTTGCAGAGGGAGGTGTTTAGTCCCAGAGTCCTTAGCTTAGTGATGAGCATTGAGGGCACTATGGTGTTGAACACTGAGCTGTAGTCAATGAACAGCATTCTCACATAGGTGTTTATTTTGTCCAGGTGTGAAAGGGCAGTGTGGAGCGCAATAGAGATTACATCATCTGTGGATCTGTTGGGGCGGTATGCAAATTGGAGTGGGTCTAGGGTTTCTGGGATAATTTGCTTTGGATAAAAGCGTCTGCTAAGTGGCATATTATTATATTATTATTATATTATGGTGTTGATGTGAGCCGTGACCAGCCTTTCAAAGCACTTCATGGCTACAGATGTGAGTGCTACAGGTCGGTAGTCATTTAGGCAGGTTACCTTAGTGTTCTTGGGAACAGGGACTATGGTGGTCTGCAGGCAGGGAGATATGGAATCACGTAGTAACCAAAGAAGTGTTAAACAAATCAAAATATATTTTAGATTCTTCAAAGTAGCCACCGTTTGCCTTGATGACAGCATTGCACACTCTTGGAATTCTCTCAACCAGCTTCATGAGGAATGCTTTTCCAACAGTCTTGAAGGAGTTCCCACATATGCTGAGCACTTGTTGGCTGCTTTTCCTTCACTCTGCCGTCCGACTCATCCCAAACCATCTCAATTGGGTTGAGGTCGGGTGATTGTGGAGGCCAGGTCATCTGATGCAGCACTCCATCAGTCTCCTTCTTGGTCAAATAGCCCTTACACGGCCTGGAGGTGTGTTGGGTCATTGTCCTGTTGAAAAACAAATGATAGTCCTACTGAGCGCAAACCAGATGGGATGGCGTATCGCTGCAGAATGCTGTGGTAGCCATGCTGGTTAAGTGTGCCTTGAATTCTAAAAAAATCACTGACAGTGCCACCAGCAAAGCACCATCACACCTCCTCCTCCGTGCTTCACAGTGGGAACCACACATGCGGAGATCATCCGTTCACCTACTCTGTGTCTCACAAAGACACAGCGGTTGGAACCAAAAATCTCAAATTCTGACTCATCAGACCAAAGGACAGATTTCCACCGGTCCATTGCTCTTGTTTCTTGGCCCAAGCAAGTGTCTTCTTATAATTGGTGTCCTTTAGTAGTGGTTTCTTTGCAGCAATTCAACCATGAAGGCCTGATTCACGCGGTCTCCTCTGAACAGTTGATGTTGAGATGTGTCTGTTACTTGAACTCTGTGAAGCATTTATTTGGGCTGCAATCTGAGGTGCAGTTAACTCTAATGAACTTATCCTCTGCAGCAGAGGTAACTCTGGGTCTTCCTTTCCTGTGGCGGTCCTCATGAGAGCCAGTTTCATCATAGCGCTTCATGTTTTTTGCGACTGCACTTGAAGAAACTTTCAAAGTTCTTGAAATGTTCCGAATTGACTGACCTTCATGTCTTAAAGTAATGATGGACTGTCGTTTCTCTTTGCTTATTTGAGCTGTTCTTGCCATAATATGGACTTGGTCTTTTACCAAATAGGGCTATCTTCTGTATGCCACCCATGCCTTGTCACAACACAACTAATTGGCTCAAACGCATTAAGAAGGAAAGAAATTCCACAAATTAACTTTTAACAAGTCACACCTGTTAATTGAAATGCATTCCAGGTGACTACCTCATGAAGCTGGTTGAGAGAATGCCAAGAGTGTGCAAAGCTGTCATCAAGGCAAAGGGTGGCTACTTTGAAGAATCTAAAATCTAACATATATTTTGATTTGTTTAACACTTCTTTGGTTACTACATGATTACATATGTGTTATTTCATAGTTTTGATGTCTTCACTATTATTCTACAATGTAGAAAATAGTACAAATAAATAAAAACCCTGGAATAAGTAGGTGTGTCCAAACTTCTGACTGGTACTGTATGCCAGTTAGGCTCTACACCGTTTGTAAAGCAGATTAATGTGCTTAATTTTAAGGAGTTATTTGGCCACTTTAGTTGTGATACAAACCTTATCAAAACGTATAGGCCTATGGGCTAGGTGACATGAGGTGTGCGACAATGATTTGAAAAAAGGCCTGCGCTGTTTCTTGCCTTACTGCACACGCTTTGCATCATTCACAAGTGATAATATATAATTCACAAGTGATAGGCTAATATTTTCACCCATCAGACTATTCTTCATTTAATTTTGTCTTTACATATACTAAATAATATATGTGTAAAATAAGTTTTGATTTAGAATGGACCATTATCATGCGCTTGTCGGAACAGGGGCAGGGGGAAAAATACATTACATCTATGCACTTAAATAGCGAATGGAGAGCGCTTTTCCCGTGGTTCATTTTCATGCCAGCCAGGTAGGCTATACTCCTGTTGTAAAGAGAAGCAATGTGCTTAATATTAGGAAAGTTGAGAAATAAATATAGTAGGCCTAGCCTATAGAAAGCTGATGGAATCCTCCTCTTTTTAGTAGAGGCCATCACTCTGTTTTCTCACGCAATTGCATGGCCTATAGAAATGTTGCGCAACATGAGCTCATGGGACTCTCATAAAGTGTTTGATTAGATTTTCAATTACATTTGCATTGATGTCAGAGTGATTAGAGGGACAATAGAGTGCTGAGTACCAGGCAGTTAGCAAGTTTGGTAGGCTGCTAATGACCATCAGCAGCATCAGAGCTTGGAGAAGCCTAGTTACCGTGACTAAGCGGTCAAGTGGAATTTGAGTGCGGTCATGACTCGTGACTGGTGGTAATACGGTCACCGTAACAGCTGTAGTGTGGACCATGTTAATTCCTTAGTGACGTGGACACCGAGGAACTTGAAGCTCTCGACCCACTCCACTACAGCCCCGTCGATGTTGATGGGGGGGGGGGGGTGTGCTCGCCGCAACAGCCCTAACTCCAACCATACTGACCATACTCTAACAATACTCTGACCATCATTTAACCATGCTCTGTAATGTCTGGTGTCCAGGTGCCTCCACTGCTCCCCAAGTCTGACATTGACCCAGAGCACTGCCGAGTCTCGGCCCAGCTGGACGACAACGTGAGTACAACACCCCCCACTAGCACAGGGCCCCACCAGCTTACAGGCCCTCTGCTCTGAAACATGTTAATAAGTGAAAATGATATAGTGGTGTGACGGTCACTTTGGCCTGGTGTGTTCCAGGTTATTGATAACATCCCCCCCACTAGCACAGGGCCTGTGACGGTCACTTTGGCCTGGTGTGTTCCAGGTTATTGATAACATCCCCCCCACTAGCACAGGGCCTGTGACGGTCACTTTGGCCTGGTGTGTTCCAGGTTATTGATAACATCCCCCCCCACTAGCACAGGGCCTGTGACGGTCACTTTGGCCTGGTGTGTTCCAGGTTATTGATAACATCCCCCCCACTAGCACAGGGCCTGTGACGGTCACTTTGGCCTGGTGTGTTCCAGGTTATTGATAACATCCCCCCCCACTAGCACAGGGCCTGTGACGGTCACTTTGGCCTGGTGTGTTCCAGGTTATTGATAACATCCCCCCCACTAGCACAGGGCCTGTGACAGTCACTTTGGCCTGGTGTGTTCCAGGTAGATGATAACATCCCCCCCACTAGCACAGGGCCTGTGACGGTCACTTTGGCCTGGTGTGTTCCAGGTTATTGATAACATCCCCCCCACTAGCACAGGGCCTGTGACGGTCACTTTGGCCTGGTGTGTTCCAGGTGGATGATAACATCCCCCCCACTAGCACAGGGCCTGTGACGGTCACTTTGGCCTGGTGTGTTCCAGGTTATTGATAACATCCCCCCCCACTAGCACAGGGCCTGTGGACAGCACTTTGGCCTGGGTGGTGTTCCAGGTAGATGATAACATCCCCCCACTAGCACAGGGCCTGTGACGGTCACTTTGGCCTGGTGTGTTCCAGGTTATTGATAACATCCCCCCCCACTAGCACAGGGCCTGTGACGGTTCACTTTGGCCTGGTGGTGTCCAGGTATTGAGAACATCCCCCCCACTAGCACAGGGCCTGTGACGGTCACTTTGGCCTGGTGTGTTCCAGGTAGATGATAACACCCCCCCCACTAGCACAGGGCCTGTGACGGTCACTTTGGCCTGGTGTGTTACAGGTTATTGATAAACATCCCCCCCCACTTAGCACAGGGCCTGTGACGGTCACTTTGGCCTGGTGTGTTCCAGGTAGATGATAACACCCCCCCCACTAGCACAAGGGCCTGTGACGGTCACTTTGGGCCTGGTGTGTTACAGGTTATTGATAACATCCCCCCCACTAGCACAGGGCCTGTGACGGTCGATAACATCCCCCCCACTAGCACAGGGCCTGTGACGGTCACTTTGGCCTGGTGTGTTCCAGGTTATTGATAACATCCCCCCCACTAGCACAGGGCCTGTGACGGTCACTTTGGCCTGGTGTGTTCCAGGTTATTGATAACATCCCCCCCACTAGCACAGGGCCTGTGACGGTCACTTTGGCCTGGTGTGTTACAGGTGGATGATAACATCCCCCTGCGTGTGATGCTGTTGCTGATGGATGAGGTGTTTGACCTGAAGGAGAGGAACCAGTGGCTCCGCAGGAACATCAAGAACCTGCTGCAGCAGCTCATCAGAGCCACATACGGAGACACTATCAACAGGTACACCACACACACACACACACACACACCATACACACACACACACACACACACACACACACACATACACACACACACACACTCACTCATCAGAGCCACATACGGAGACACTATCAACAGGTACACCACACACACACACACATACACACATACACACCACACACACACACACACACACACACTCACTCATCAGAGCCACATACGGAGATCTGACTATTGTCTGCCTCTGGTCTCTGCAGGAAGATCGTGGATCATGTGGACTTCATGACAGCTCCAGAACAGGTAGCAGACTACGTCAAGAAGTTCAGGTAACACACACACACCATCAGATCGCTGCGTGTGATTGGTTAGAAAGCCCATCAGTAACTCTGTGGTCCCGCCACTGTGCAGGGATTCGTACTGGCCCAACGGAATCCTGGCCGAGTCTCCACCCCGCCGGGACAAGAACATCCGCATGAGGACGCGGGTCGCCGCCAAGACCAACCTATTGGGAATCATGCCAGGTAACACACACACGGAGTAAACACACACACACTGACTGAACAAACATGTTCACTATTAATCCACCATTTCTCCCTCTCCTCTTCCAGATGAGTTGAAGCACATCATCGGGGCGGATACGACTCGTAAGGGCATCCTGCGTGTGTTTGACATGTTCCAACACGGACCAATGAACCGCCGGCTGGTCTACGTGCTCCTAGAAGGGTTCCTGGAGACCATGTTCCCTCACTACAAGTTCCCTGAGCTGTTTGTCAAACTTCACTCTCGCTCGCCGCGCACAGCCAGATACACACAGAAACTCCAGAGCACCTCCCTGAAGAGGTGACAGGAGACTGGGACTGGGCAGGCTACTGAGTGACACTCTGTCACACGGCGTGAGAGAAGAGAGGGAGGGGAGTTGTGGGGTTGAGAAGAGGTTAACGCGCGTGTGTTCTCAAGAAGGGATTGTTGGACCGTCCTAGCTGTTAACTCTGTCCTGCTCTTCACTTCCCATACGTGCCTCACACACCAACACGCTCCTGTAGCGATAACAAACTGCTTTGGGTTTTATTTTTTGGTTTCATTTTTTTTTTTTACTTTTTGTTTTATGCTAACTGTTTTTATTGTAGATGTGTGGTCAGATTGGCAGAGCTGCTCTGATATGCCCAGCAGATGATCTCAGTTCCTGATACCAGGCCATGTCTAGAGAAACACATGTACCGGTATATAAATAGATGGATAGGAGAGGTAGGGGGATAGAGGATGCCATGGGTAGTGAGACAGAAAGCGTGAAGGGAAGTGTCAAGGCGTTTGTTTTCACGTTTTATTTTTATTTTTTTATGTGACATCATCATCCTGCCATAATCCTCTAGGACACGAGGAGGCTGGGTTTGGCCTGAAGGCCACTCCCCCTTTTCTAATGCGCACGTCAGTAACCATGACAACCAACTCTAACTGTTGCTTGTGTTTGACAGGGATGATTGACAGCTCTACTGTGCTTCATGTTAATCATGTGAAAAAAAAAAAAGAAACCAGAATGCACAGCTCCCCTGCTGGTGAGGCCTGGGTAAATCTGAAATGGCTCATTCTAATGCACTGCTTTCGGACAGACAGAGGCTAATGGTAGTACTCTGCATTTTGGGAATGTGGTGCCTATTTGGACGGAGACAGAATGAAATGACAGGCCAGACTGTGAATGCTGCTGTCTGTAGAAGCAACTGTCTATCAAGTAGAATGTACTCGCTGGGCCTGTCTGTCTGCGTTTGGTGTTTGAGAGTGTGTTTGAGAGTGTGTGTGTTTGAGTGTGTGTTTTGAGAGAGAGTGTATGTGTTTTGAGAGATAGTGTGTGTGTTTTGAGAGAGAGCATGTGTGTGTTTGAGTGTGTGTGGTGTGTGTGTGTGTGTGTGTTTTGAGAGAGAGAGAGAGTGTGTTTTTTGAGAGAGTGTGTGTTTTGAGAGAGAGCGTGTGTGTTTTGAGAGAGAGCGTGTGTGTTTTGAGAGAGAGCGTGTGTGTTTTGAGAGAGAGTGGTGTGTGTTTTGAGAGAGAGCGTGTGTGTGTTTGAGTGTATGTGTGTGTGTTTTGAGAGAGAGAGAGTGTGTGTTTTGAGTGTGTGTGTTTTGAGAGAGAGCGTGTGTGTGTTTGAGTGTGTGTGTGTTTTGAGAGAGAGAGAGTGTGTGTTTTGAGAGAGAGTGTGTGTTTTGAGAGAGAGAGAGTGTGTGTTTTGAGAGAGAGAGAGTGTGTGTTTTGAGAGAGTGTAGCAGTAAGCTGCAGCCCTCCCCAGTCAGTCAGACACTGCCAGTGTGGGCCCAATGCTATAGTAGCACACACCACTAAGGAACAGAGAGAGAACACACACTGATAGCCCAAGCTGATAGTAGCACACACCACTAAGGAACAGAGAGAACACACTGATAGCCCAATGCTTATAGTAGCACACACCACTAGGAACAGAGAGAACACACACTGATAGCCCAATGCTATAGTAGCACACACCACTAAGGAACAGAGAGAACAACATGATAGCCCAATGCTATAGTAGCAACACACTAAGGAACAGAGAGAACACACACTGATAGCCCAATGCTATAGTAGCACACACACTAAGGAAAGAGAGAGGAACACACACTGATAGCCCATGCTATAGTAGCACACACCACTAAGGAACAGAGAGAGAACACACTGATAGCCCAATGCTTATAGTAGCACACACCACTAAGGACAGAGAGAACACACACTGATAGCCCAATGCTATAGTAGCACACACCACTAAGGAACAGAGAGAACACACACTGATAGCCCAATGCTATAGTAGCACACACCACTAAGGAACAGAGAGAGAACACACTGATAGCCCAATGCTATAGTAGCACACACCACTAAGGAAACAGAGAGAACACACACTGATAGCCCAATGCTATAGTAGCACACACCACTAAGGAACAGAGAGAACACACACTGATAGCCCAATGCTATAGTAGCACACACCACTAAGGAACAGAGAGAACACACACTGATAGCCCAATGCTATAGTAGCACACACCACTAAGGAACAGAGAGAACACACTGATAGCCCAATGCTATAGTAGCACACACCACTAAGGAACAGAGAGAACACACTGATAGCCCAATGCTATAGTAGCACACACCACTAAGGAACAGAGAGAACACACTGATAGCCCAATGCTATAGTAGCACACACCACTAAGAACAGAGAGAACACACACTGATAGCCCAATGCTATAGTAGCACACACCACTAAGGAACAGAGAGAACACACACTGATAGCCCAATGCTATAGTAGCACACACCACTAAGGAACAGAGAGAACACACACTGATATCCCTACTTTATCACGCTTTTATTCAGAGAAAATGTCATTAATTTTGTGCAATATTTTTCTTTGATGCATGACTATTTGAATAACTGTATATTGTATAAAAATGGAAAAATATACTGTTTTGGAAAAATTGTAGAAAAGGTGAAAGAATTATCCTCCCTTCCCAAAGGAAAAAAGTATTCGAACCCCAACAGCCTACATTCCGTTGTAAAAAAAAAAAAAATCAACATTTAATTGCAGACTCGTTTTATAAGTATTTTTTTTATTATAATTTTTTACTCCTGATGAATGTGGTTTCCATGCCGATGTGTCAGCTGGAGTGACGAGTGATCTAGCCAGTCGAGCTAAAGCCTCTGGATGGGAAGCTATAGCTCATTGGTCTAGAGATATGGTGGAAGGGCTTATTATGCAGATGAGCCTGTTGATTGGAGAGTGAAATGATTCACTGTTGTATGAACCAATGACAGGAGAGACTTTGTGTCATCTGTCCAATCAAATTGCAGGAAAGCCATGTTTCTGTGAACCAATAGAATCACTGCTATATAGCACTTTGTACCAGAGTTCTTCCATTGGCCGATCAGAGCTCCGTTCCACTGCTGCCATTGGATGGAACTGTCCCTCGTCTGCTGTGATTGGCTGGCACTGAACAGCTCTAGACTGTGATTGGCAGTGTGAGGACATGAAATCTGAGCTGTGTGACTTTTAAAAGGAAGTGGAAATGTGTCCCTGGACAGGAGAGGTGACCAGGTGAACCCCACAAGACTTCACCTTTAAAGCCTCCACTCTCTCCCATTCAGGACGGCTTGGCTGTTGATGTCCACAAGGTTTACCCCACGTCAACATGGTCCTGCGTTGTATTAATCATTAAATGAACGGAGCACAGAATCAAATGGAGAAACACAATATGAGACAACACAGCAAGCATCATGTACATTTGGATGAAGCGTTGCTGTGAAAAGCCGGGATCTTCTAGTACATTATGAATCTATGACAATGAACCGTGAGCATATCTGTGTACAGTACGTGTCAATAGTGTGCCTAAATGTTCCGTCAGCTCTATTTTCGTATTTTTCTTTAACGACAGATAAGCATCAAACAGAATGTCATGGTCATTTTAGACTGAAGAGAACTCTAAAGTCTCTAGAACCAGAGAACTCTAAAGATTCTAGAGCCAGGGGTGGGTTCTAGACTCTAGAACCTGGGGTGGTCAACCCTCCTCCTGGAGAACTACTGGCTGTGCAGGATTTTGCTCCAACCCTGCTCTATTCTAACACACCCAATTTAACCAATCAAGGTGTTGAGGAGCAGCTGATTAGCAGAACTAGGTGTGGTGGTGTTAGACCACCGGCTGGAGCAGAATCCTACTGAGGATGGGTAGCTCTCCAGGAGCAGAGTTGGAGACCCCTGCTCTGTGGTGTTTTTTGCATCATGCTTATCAAACTATTCCTTTGGAAACGTTGAACTCAGATCAGTAATAACACTAATAATAAAGCGGTAACTGACCAACTGACCACTGTGTGGTGTGTTGCGCGTGTTGTTCTTCAGCGATCTCTCTCTCTCTCTCTCTCCTTCAGAGTGCCCTGGTCCTTCACACACTCTCTCTCTCCCTTTCTCCCTCTTCATCTCCCTCTCTCTTTTCCTCCCTGTCTCTGTCTTCCTCTCTCCCTTTCTCCCTCTTCATCTCCCTCTCTCTTTTCCTCCCTGTCTCTGCACTCACACACTCCAGTTAGCGTCAGCAGGAGTTTCTGTTAGCAGCTTAACATGGTATAGGACAGGGTTCCCCAACTGGTGGCCCGCGGGTGATTTTATTTGCCCCACCCCCCCCCAGTTTTCTGAACAAAACAAAAACGTTTACATGTTTATTGTAGGACATAAAAGACTGTAATACCAGCAAATCAGCTCCAAGTTATTTACATTTTGGAAATCTGTTTCAAAGTATTTCCACGCATAAAAGAGAGATATACTGTATTTATTTTTTATTTTACCTTTATTTAACTAGGCAAGTCAGTTAAGAACAAATTCTTATTTACAATGACGACCTAAACCGGCCAAACCCGGATGACGCTGGGCCAATTGTGCGCTGCCCTATGGGACTCCCAATCACGGCCGGTTGTGATACAGCCTGGAATCGAACCAGGGAGTCTGTTGTGACGCCTCAAGCACTGAGATGCAGTGCCTTGGACCACTGCGCCACTCGGGAGCCCAATAGTATATGATCGAATACAAACGTAAGCAAGGTTAGAATTTTTTTTAGTCAAATGTTATATGTGTTTAGGCTTCTTGCAGTCAATTTGCAGTCTACAAATGTGTAATTATGTTCCGGCCCACTGACCATCCGAGGCTGAATCTAGTTGATGATCCCAGGCTTTGGAGATGTAGATTTATACCCACATTTACACACATTCACGCCAGCCTAGCACCAGCCTAGCTATTCACACTCCCACACCAGCCTAGCACCAGCCTAGCCATTCACACTCCCACACCAGCCTAGCACCAGCCTAGCTATTTAC